TTACCATGCAAAATGTTTGCACTTTCAAATGCATATCCACTTCACCCATAAAATATCAAAGGTTTACATTTCATGACATAATGTCTCTTCACAGATGTCTCCTATGGTCACCTCCCGTGAGTCACGAAACCACAGTCAGTGACTGCAGTTTGGCATTAGGCATAACTATCACTTAACACATTGGCATATAGCTTCATGTTTTGGTCTAGGCGTCAGTCTGTTATCAAATGACCAGTAAGATATTTCTTGCTGGTGATTTCACTTGTGAGGACATTAGAGACCCATTAGTCTGGCCAAGGGCTGAGCGAGACGGGAAACTGAGGTGTTGGGAAGAGTTACAGCCTGTAGACAGTGACGGAAAACCTGAACTGAAGATGACAAAAGTCTCGAACTGAAGTATTAGCAGACACCCAGAATAATCTGTGAGGACAGGTAGAGGCCTAACCTGGCTCATCCAGTGTCGGGCGATGTTTTGCCACCATGGTCACTGTGTTTAAATGGAAACTTGTGTGTGTAGAAATGTGTGTTTGAGTTGCATGCAACGAGGTGTTGAATATTGTTCCAGCATCAACATTGCAGAGGATGTAGTGTAATCATGAAAAGTTGCTAGTCGAACCAGTTTGTTTCTTAGCCTCTTAGTTACCTGCATTTGTGCACAAGTTGAACATATTACAATATTTTTTTAACTTTACTCTGCACTGAATGACACCTCTTTTCTCTAGGGATGGCAAGATGGGTCGGTTAGCATGCTAACACACTAAACTATTATGTTGATGTAAACATTATACTGTTCCTGTTAAACAGGACGTGAGCATTGTCATTGTGACTAGGGGTGGGAGAAACAAATGACTCGATTAACAAATGTCAAAAATCGATTATTTAAATGTGAATTAATAATGTTGATGGAACACTGAAGCGCGGAAGTGCAGCGCCCAGACAGTCTGTTTTGTGCACCTAACAACAGAAACCAGTGTTCCCCTGTGTCAGGCACACCATTTTACTACCACCCTACTAAAATTGAACACATTAATGTCAGTGCACAACTTCTGATTTTCACTGTCACACTGTTTGAGCACGGTAACGGTCATCGCTTGGCTGTCTTCCTGGGAGTCTTGTGGGTGCGAATGAGTGGGTGAGCGAATTAGAGAGAGAGAGCGGCAGAAAGTGACAGTGAAAGATAGCGGAGTTATTAGAGATATTAGCAGTAAGTTGTCAGTCTGGCAGTTAACGTCCAGTGTAGGTCACAGTTTGACCGTTAATAAGTCTGTCGTTTCCCCAACAGCAGGAAAGTGAAGGCGGTTAGCGCTAACAAACAACTCCCTTGTACAGCACATGTTTTGGCTGCTTTGTAACTAGTAGTAGTAACTAAGTAAACGGTAATGTTAGCTGTGTGTCATTACTACTTAACGTTACTTGTCCAGGGTTGAGAACAACAGGTACAAGTTAAACTGGTGTACAGCTGTCCTGTACACATGCTGTACATCCAGATACTATTTAAATTATATTTAAGTTTTCAGAGGAAAACTGGTTGTTAAAGAAAAGATGGTGGTGACCAGGAGGAGATGTGGTTAGTAATGTAAATTAGGGAAGCAAGCTAAGTTAGTCCTTTTAAGCTATGGAGGAGACGTTTCTTTTAGATTTTTATGTGCAAATTAAATTCTTAGTAATCATCCAGGTATCACATAGAAAAAAGATGTATGATAATCGCTTTATAATCGCATCGCAGCCCTCTGAATCCTAATTGAATCATGAGGTGCCTAGAGATTCCCACCCCTAATTTTGACCATGCATGCCGGTGGTAGCATTTAGCTCAGCATCACTTTGCCACAGTACAGCTTCACAGAGCCGTTAGCATGGTTGTAGACTGCTGGCCTGTAAGGGAATCCTGCAATCATTATTTCTGCAGCATGATTGGCTCGGCCTGCAATGAAATCTATGTTGATTTTGCATCTAATTTTGGTATGGAGTAGAAACAGGTAAATTGTTTTCTATGCAAGGAAAGCTATAAAAATAAAAACCTGTAAATACTTTTTTTTTTTTGTATTATCAAAATGTACATATTCTGCAAAGGAAGCTAAAATATCAAAATGTTTGTTTTTCCAGTATTCTTTAGTCCCACACACAGCAGATTGAATGTTGTTGAGCTCAGTAATTTAAAATAGACTTAACACATATTCATGTGTGTGAATTTGTTGTCATTATTTCAGCAGGATCCCATTCCAGCGCGTGAAAGTAAAGAAGGGACACATTATATTGATGTCATGATATGAAACTAGATATCGTCATGTGTTATCGTCGTCATATTCACTGGTCTTAAAGACTGCAGTACAGTTGCATGATTCAAGTTTAGATCATTTGACTAAAAGAAAAGTGGAAATCCTATCCACAAAACATTTCTCATAGACCTTATCACCCACACAGTTTAGACCAAATATCTTCGAAAGGCACCAGATCAGTATAAGAAACATCAAGTTATACTTGAGATTCTTCATTGCGTCATATAGACCAGCTCTCCTTGAAAGTGAGGGGCTACTGCAGTGGCAACCCTTGCTTGCTAACAGCCCTATCATTTACTAGTACATTAACAGATTCCCAAGCAAATACACACACACACACACACACACACACACACACACACACACACACACACACACACACACACACACACACACCAGAACACCCATGTGAGATATTTACGTGACTGATGTGCAGTATGCTGCGTGGCTAGGTGCCATTTTGGCGCCTTTGTCTCTATGCTAGGGTGAGCAGGTTTCGTAAGTTGACACCTACTTCTTCATATGACATGTCATGTGGAGGAGGTCTTTTTGCATGTTTGTGGATATCAGTACCGCTCTGTTAACGCCAGTCTGGCAGCAGACAGTAACACGAGGCCACAAGGAGCTGATGCAGTGTGTAAATTAAACTGGTCCTTGGAATGCTGTCTCTGCACTTTTTTTTTTTGATATTGATATTTTACCTAATAAAAGTGAAAATTGGGATTTTGCAATGTGTTTACCAAGTGAGTACTATTAGGGTAAGTGAAGAGGCAGTGTAGTTTTTGGTGGGGCTGCAGTCTCAGACAGCTGGTTGTAAAAAGGCTGACATCTAACCTTGCTACCGTGCTGCTAGGATCAGGGGGCTTTGGAGCCACACCACCCTCTTTAGATGGATGGGTTAACAGCAGCTTTTGGCCCAGTAGTATCCTGTGAGGGTCAGTGCCAAGACCACTTCAAATGTGCAAGCCATAATCCCGTCTGACATTAATATTTTCAGATGGAGGCAAGCAGGGAGCATAGTCGGGGGGTGGCAATGTAAGCAAGGTCTTTTTGGCTGGCCTTGTTTCATGCTGGCAGTGGTGATAGACACTAAAGCCATTACTCATGATGTAGGTATGTCCAGAATGTATTCTTAGCCCCTGTCTTCCTATCAGTCACTACAGAAAGGTTGGAGGGTCAAAAAATAAAGAGGTAACCAGTCTGCAGGGCTGTCTGCACCACTGCTGTTTACCAGGGAGGGGGTGATATTTTAAACCTGAGAGAGCTCACATATTTACCCCGCTGAGCCTGACTGACTTGCCATTTGGTGGGGTGAAGACGCTGGAGACCACTGATAGAGGAGAGAAGAGGCAAAGAGAGAAGCCGTTCAGTTACTACTTCATAAATAGCTTGCAGCATTTACAGATAGAACGCAGACCAGAGAAGAAGAGTATCAGAACAAAAGAAGACAGTTAAACAGATTTGAGGATAAAGGCGTGAATAGAGGGGAATACACTTGTGGGAGGCGAGAGGTAGCCAGGCTGAGCTGACTTTTCCCCCAGAGGAGGAGTTGCAGTTGCCGGCCAGGGCAGGTCCCAGGGCTGGTAGGGCTGGCCCTAATGCTTCTCCACCTCCATTCCTTCCTCCTTTTACTCCTCCTTCTCCTCCCTTTACCATCACTCAAACTGCTGTGCAGTGATGAACTTACAGGCAGAACCAATGAGCAACATAGGAATGCTTAGAAAATCCTGTCAAATGAACATATCTGCCTCGAGTGAGGGGAAACTCCAGAGGTTGAGTTTTCCATAGGAGGACCTCCACTGCAGAATAGACAGTCACCCTTTTGTCTTCTCATCCACTTTTGTTGCACTCACTGGTTGAGTGTACTGAGAAACTGGGATTTTTTTTACACACTTTTCTTTCTCCGTTTTTGCTTTTGTAAACCGGAACACTGGCAACCTTTTCAGTAGCACGGTGCAAGGACCAGCTCCACTCACCCAAGATGAGCCGCTGGCTGAAATGCACCTCTATGCACTTTGTAGGTATTCATTGTCAGTTTGTCACCAGAAGCTGTATTTGTGGTTACAGGTTCTTCTGTTCTTACACTGTGATCTACAAATCGAAAAGCTGTGCTTTAACAAAGTGGTAATGGAGTCAAGGAATTCTTCTTGAGGCAAATGGGGAAGCTGGGACAATTATCATGGGTGGATCAATTCAGTGACTCATGAAATACTTCATAACTACAGTATATTGTACTTGTTGTTGTCAGAAGTGATGATTTCAATTCACTGTGGCTGTGTGCATACAAACTGCTTGTGTTTGAATCTGAGTTATGATTTGTGTTTGTGTTCTCTGTTCATTTTTGACCTCCAGTTTAAAGTACCCCAGTGCTTCCCAGAAGCCTTAAGACTGCTCTGTTCTCATGCTTTGTGACCATCACTCATGGAGGGATTTAGTTAAACTGCACTACAGCACATTCTTGGCACATTCTGCGTTAACTGAAGTCTATGATTGTACCACAAAAGGAAAATTTACATTGGCATTGTTCTTGTGTCAGAATAGGCTTGGCTTGGCATGTCATTATGTGTCACTATTGCATTTAACATCAGCTGAAAAAAAGAGAACCAAAAATGTACTTATATACATATAATAATACTTATGTAATAAAATATTTGTTCAACTATTTGGTTTGGGAAATACTGTCAAACATACCGTATGTCTGATGGTCACTATCATCATTGTCAGAACACAGACTGGAACAAGTACGATGATCGGCTGATGAAGGCGGTGGAACGTGGGGAGGTGGACAAGGTTGCTGCTGTTCTCAGCAAGAAAGGCATCATTCCCACCAAGCTTGACGTGGAAGGACGCTCTGCGTGAGTAAACATGGACACACACCTATATATAGAGAGACACACACACACACACACACACACACACACACACACACACACACACACACACACACACACACACACACACACACACACCCATGTCTAGTATGTTGATATTCATGCATGAATTTCTACAACACACTTTCAACAGATAGAAATCTATATTGAATTGAATAATCTACTTCTAATCTACTCTAACCATGTGCGTGCTGCTTACATTCACTACTGTATATTGGTTTTCTCTTGATTGTTACCATCTACTATGCCTGTTTGGAATATTTGCAAATCTAAAAATGCTGATCATCACAAATTCCAAACATTGTAGTGGTCTCCCCACCACGCATTCCTGACCCAGATTCCCAGATAAATCATCTATAGATGGGAATTCCTTTACAATTGGTTCACTCTTACTCAAAAATAGTTTTACCTCTTAGCTCCTTTTATGACATCAATGCCAATTCTCCCTGCATGACCCTTTAAAAAAAAAAAAAACAATCCCACCCCCTCCACAATTTCCCATGGTTATAGTGATCCTGTTGTACATTTAAACCTTCATCTAGTTGCCCTGCATATGAAAGGAATTGCACGTTGTGTTGGTTTTTCGATCCAAAAATTTCCCTTTTAGTGTCCATCTGACCGGCAGTCAGTGTGGGAGTTGGTATAAAGAATGTTTGTGGCCACTGAAGGCTTGACCACATTGGCCAGAGGCTGTTTACGTAGTCCCCACAGGAAATGACTCCCTGCAGATTCAGATCAGATCCACTGTGGTGCTTGCAACACCAACTAATATATTTAGGCCCAGCTGCAGGCTATTATCAGAATCAGTTGACATCTTGAAGGACCATGTTTTAGGTTTTGGGGGTTTTTTGCTTTGTAAAAAGTTGGATTTATACTTTTCACAAGGTTTCAGGAGAAGAATTGGGTCAACAGAAAGATATGAGAGGAGGAAATGGAAGTTATTGGGGAAGAAATAATAATAATGTTGCATTTTAGCCATCCAAGACCGCAGATATTTCAGGTATCTCATACAGATGTTTTTGGTCCCATTAATGGTCATAACAGCCTGGCCTTGGAAAACAATGCATTGGGATGTTCATAAAAAATGGGAATTTGTTTATTCCTAAATTAAACCAGATTCCAACACCAGCATTTTGGGAGGCCAGGCGCCCTCAGTTTAATCCTAGATATATGAAGAAGTCACTGGTCTCTGGCCTGTGCTTCAGGTTTATTTTGACACAGGCTTTGTTTAAAGCATATAACTATGGAGCACCAGATCCCAGAAGCAAAGGTACAGAGTATTTTCAGCAGTGTGTGAAATCCTCTTGTGGCACCACTGCAAAGACCAATGATTGTATATATGCATGCGTGTAAATAAACAGAATTATACACACAACCTGATAAATACCTGGTCTCATAATAAGGTGCCAGAAACCAGGACCGTGGCTGCAAATTTTGCAATGACAGACAGTCAAGGTAGTTGTACACAAACGCAGTCATGGTTATTATTTAGCGTTCACCTGCAGGGCGGACAGACCACAACTACAGTAGTTAACTATAAAATCAACACGTTGCCTTAACTGAAAATTTATGGAAAGTTAAGGTCATGCTTTTGCCAAGTCTACCCAAAACAAAGTGAACCACAATCACAACTCAGCAAGTCTGCTTTTAGTTCAGTAGGCCACACACAGACCGTGTGTCTATGGCTTCCAGGCCTCTGCATAAGCCAACAGAGGAATGTCGAATAGCGATCCCTTGTAATCATGGACCTCTGTGGGGAAACTAATTACAAACTGTTACCCCTGATATATATAATTTGGAGTGCCCTGTATTAGCCTCACTATGTTCAGCTAATAAATTCGGCTCTAACTGTTCTATCGCAGCTTCCAGCTGAGTAAACAGTTTACAACTCTGCCATGGCATTAGCTGGAACCCAGGGAGGTAAGCCCACCCATCACACCTGCTCATTCTGTGCAGTTGTGATTGCTAGTTGACTGGGGCTTAGCAGCAAAAGAAGTCCACATGACAGCATGCCACTCGCTTGGTCCTGCAGCATAAAACTGGCCCATTGTTTGTCAGGATTAGTAGTAATGAATTTTATGCTCAAGTGTCTTTTAAGTATAACAATAGCAAGCTGTGAGTTTCACAGTTGGATATGCATGGTGTTGAGTCTGATTTTATTACAGATTGAGAACAGACCGAGTAAATGCATTTGATGCAGGAGAACATGCAAACTCCACTCCTACCAGGAATCTAACCAAGGACCTTCTATCTGTGATGTGACAGTGCTGACCAGTGCTGCCCCTTGAAATCTTTATTGATTTGCATTGTTTTTCCTAACCACTAGACAGTCCTTGCCATTAATTTTATTATCATACAAAATCAATTGGCATATCAAATGACATGAATCTCACTTAAGAGTGGTAATCTATAGAACAAGGTATTTTTTAATCTGCCACAGGCACGGTATTTTGCTTGTTTGACTGCCTTTACACACATTATCATATGTGGCTCAGCTACCAACATGTACTCTCTGGTTTACTCTTCCCTGTCCATTCTCTAAAAATAGCAACCATATCCTGTAGGCTGTCAACCTGAAAGCAGCCAAGGAGCAGGTGTGAAGGTGAAATCACATAGCTGAATGTGCTCTCTTAAAGTCAGACCCATTTGTCTTCTAAAATTTATCTCTAACCATTTTACTGAGGTGAAAATAATATATATATATATATATATATATATATATATATAAAATATATATATATATATATATATATATATATATATATATATATATATATACATATACACAATTCTTTTCAAATCAAACCTTTTGCTTGTATTCCTAATGTAGTACATTCAGCCTGCAATGTATTGGGAGCTGTTAGTGCCACTTACTGTCACACAACTCATCATTCGTTATTCATCAACATGTCATGAGGAAGTCCACTACCCCAGTTCAAGTTTGCAATTATATATTTTTGACTCCATTCAGAACCATACTTCAGTTCCCCTCTAGAAAATGTTGTAGATCATGAACTTGGCAAGTCATATCACTTATATCCCCCTAATTTGGATAGCTCTAGTCTGCTGCCTGTCTGCTGTTTGCCCCGAGAGGTCAGGACCCTCCGCTGCTCCCCAGAGAACCAGCATCTCTAGGCCATCAACACGGCTTTTAATACCCACGCCAGTGTTGAGGTGACAGCCTAGCTGTCTCCTTGGCAGATACCTCGGGTTAGTGTATAAACAGGTTCATGTGGCTTGATGGGTGACATACTGAGATTGGTTTACATACAAGTGCTTTGCAGACCTTAATGGCTAGTGGCGGCAGTGCTGCTGTGGGTTAAATCAGAAGGGGAACAGGAATGTTTCCAGTCAAACGTGATTAAAGACATGTTGGCAAACACATGGAGTGGAGAACTGCTAAATTGATAAGGCAAGTAACAAGGGAAGATTATTACCATTTATTAAAGTCCTATCAATATCAACACAATGTCCCCTCCAATTACATTGTTCCAATGGTGGAGCCTTCACAGACCAAAGAACAATGGAGGACACAGAGAAGCCGCAGTATATGTGCAATCTTTTTGTTTGTTGCTGCAACTCTACAACTGTTTTTTATCATTTGACAGTGCTCATGAAAATAAGCAGTGAAGCTGATACAGTAGGAACATGCTATTTGGGTATCTCTTGGTTACCATGGTCTACAGACCCTGAGGTTTCTTGTTATTTCCTTTGAGAATGCAGATCTTGCTGATAGTCAGGGGCCTGGTGTCCATTTGCAGTACCCTTCTTGTTTCACCATCATCTCTTCTGTTCCTATCCTATCACTTTTTCACTTGCCCTCTTCTGCTGCACTTTGTCTATTCTTTTGACATCTGCCTCAGTCTCATCCCCTGTCTGTTTTCCTCTCTTAATTTTTCTCCACCTCTTCTTGTTTCTCAGGTTTCATTTGGCTGCAACTCGAGGACACCTAGACTGTCTGAATCTCATTCTGGGACACAGCGTTGACATCACTGCAACCGATGCAACTGGTGAGTTCAGATTGGATTAAAGCAGTACCATGGAGCTCTGTTCATATACTTGATGTGTATCTAATATTTTGTCCACCACCGTTATTTCTGAGTGTACAATAAAACTAAAAGCCTTGCAGTATAACATAATACACAAACATTTGACAGTTTTACTTAGTAAACAACCAGAGAATAACTTTTTATTTGTAAAGGCTACATCCACACCAATGATTTTCTTTTCACATGCATAACTTTTGCTGTGTTTACGCCTAGCATCTTCACTACTCATGCGTTTTTGAACCCCTAAAACGGGGACTTTTGAGAATGCTGCTTACCCAAGCGGGAAGCTTCCGGTCTGAGACGTGAATCTGTTGCGGAAGTCCTTTAAACCTGCATTCTATTGAACGGCAAGCAGGGGGCCGGAAGTCCAGTTCCATTAGAAATAATGGTAAAATGACCCTACTTCTCAGCTGAATAATTACCTCAGTGAACACTTTCATAATGATTTTATGGTCTCAATCGCTAGTGTCAGGTCTTCTTCAATACAGCACGATGTTTATTTAGTAAATTATGGTCCCATTTAGAGGAAAATGGACCATAAAGCAGAGTATGCTTCAGGGCGGGATTATCTGTGATTGACAAGTCGTTACCATGGTGACATGTCAATCAGGCTAGAGTGACTCGTACCCACAGCACTGTGTAAATTTAACCAGCGCCGTTGAAAAAGCGTATTAGGAGTTGGCTGTTCATTTTCTCTGGTGAGTAAATTTAGTTTTAAAAAATCAACATGGTGGAGCCCTATCGGCCAAACTCGAGGCTTGAAAACGGCAGTCCACAAACCAACAGGTGACGTCACGATAACTACTTCCACTTCTTTTATACAGTCTATGTGCTTACCCCATTTTAGTTTAAAAATTTCAGGATTGCGCTTTAGTATGGCCGGGCAGAAACAGAGACCATCATTTCCATGATTAAAAATAAACCCAGGGGTGATTAATTTCCACATTAACACATTATCAAATTAAGGCAGACTGAGGTACTTAGTGCCAGAATATGATGAGTATGTGTTAGGCAGAAAATTGGTTTCATTAGTTGTCTGTTCTTGTTTTCTACTATACCGAGTTCTGCTCAGCATCAAATGTGTTAATTTGGGATGTGACATTAGGCCTGATAATGAGCAAGAGACATGAACTGATCCATCCCAACATTCAGAGACAATGAAGACGTACGGGTTCAGGCAGCGAAGCAAAGATGGGTGCAAAAAATTACAAATACGTCCTGCTTCCTGCTCTAATTTTTTTTTACCAAATAAAGCTTTTGTACTATTAACCTAATATGTTTTCAGTAAAGTTTTGCACTTTGACATATTTTAAATCTCATAACTTTAACAGAACACACATTGTAGGTTCTCCAGGAGGATTGCATGGTCCAACTACTTAAAATAGCCAGCCAAAAAAACATTACTGTATTATTTAATCATTTTTCCTTGGTGATCCATTGTTACTGATGAAATCCCTTACTGTACAGGTTCTCTGTTTAGATAACGCAACATAATTTACGTCAAGCTGTGATTCACAAATTGTCTCCTGATTGACGCAATAGGATTGAAACTCACAGTGTCTGATTGGGTAAACCTCAAGGCACGCTCTAAGTGATGCACAGTCGTACGGTGAAAATTTGGTGCTAAAAATATAAACCCTTGATTGTGAATGTACTTTCTGATTGATGCATTTATCACTTTCAGGTAAAAATGCTCTTCATCTGTCTTCAAGAAATGGACATTCTCTGTGTGTACAGAAACTCTTGCAGGTAAAGCACATTTGTCCTCCCTTTGTTTCTCTTTGCACCTGATTGATAGTCACTGCTGTGAGAAAATGAGAGTGCCAAATGAGAAGATAATATCTGATAATGTTCTTTTTCCTCTTAGGGTATTGTTTTCTTTTGTTCTGTTTTTTAGTTGTTGCTCATGTGTGGGTGTGTTGTGCATCTACACACTTTACTGTCTGTATGTACCACAGAGCAGCTTCCCAGTCACTGGCCAGTCAGAGCAGTTTCCCTTTCAGCTTCTTTAAATAATTATTGCCAAACAGCTCTGACAGCTGAGCCCACTGCGTACTGGTCAACAGTAGGCCCTGATGAGTCACCAAGACTCACTGGAGGATTTATGTGTTTACAATGAGGGGGCTATCTTCAATATTGTGCTCTCATAGCATTGTAGCCCTTCCCCTTGCCCCCACTGCCGCATGGCAGTGATCTCACTGAGGTTGCGGCTGTTGGCAGGAGGTTGTCAGTGGTGTTGACAAACCTGCCGTCCATTCTCGGTGCCGTCATCACACCAGACATAGCAGCTGGACGCCAACACCCACCGACTCCACTATCTCCCTCCGTCAGCCCAAACCCTCAAGCTATAGGATATCCCCGACTCCGTCAACTCCCATTGCCGCTCTGCCCCCCCACCCCCTTCGCTTTGTCATTTGAGTGTGCTGCTAATTTTTGGCCCTTGTTGCTAGAGAGAGTTGGGTTTTTATAGTGGGGGGTGGGGGGGGGGGGGGCATAGCTTGCTGGCAAGCTTTACCCAGCAACATCAGGCTCCTGTTGGCTTTGAGTCCTCAAGGCTTTCATAACAGCCCCTCATCACCGCAGTGGTACAGTCACTGGTGTTCAGCCACCACCTGCTGTTACCTGCTGCAGGTTCCGTTGCCAGCCAGTGGAAATAAATGATTTTGAGACAGCTTTGAGTAACTGAAAATCCAGGTTTAGGTCAAATACTCAGCAATTACATCAAGCTAACGTCATTATTCTAACAGAAAAATGGGTCATATTTGACCGATTGAGTTGGCTACACAGGCTTTAATGCAGATAACCAACCACTGGTGGGGGTACTCACTCAACGGCATCATATCCAGTAGTTTCATATAGCTTGCTAAAAGACTATATGAAAATCATTCCATGTTAGCTGTAGACCTGTAACATACATTATATGGTCAAAAATTTGATTTTCCTTTCTCCAGTCGACCATCATCCCATTTGTTTAAATTTCTCTAATCAACCACTACTAAATACTTCACAACAAGTGTAGTGTGTCAGTGCCACTGAGGAGGGAACTTTCTTATGTAGGGTTCTTATATAAATAATAAATGGTTATTATATTTAGTCATACTTATATTTTGACACCGCAGGGATCCAGGGAAAGTTCAGCACCAGCGAAATTATTTGCTTCACTTGATCCTGTTGTGCCAACCTGTGTTTTTGTTATTTTACAGCACAACTGTCCAGTTGGAAATGTGGACCTACAAGGAAGGACAGCTCTACATGATGCTGGTAAGACTACACTCCGCTCTAGTACTGACTCTACTCTAATCTAGAACTGACTCAACTCTAGTACTCACTTTACTCTACTGTAGTATAGTTCTGACTCCTCTCTGGTACTGACTGTACTGTACTTACAGTCAGGAAGCTCTACTCTAGTACTGACCACTCTTCCCTAGTACGGTATCTACTCTAGTACTGACTCTATTGTGGTGTACTTTACTATAGTTAATGTCTTCTACATTACATGTTAAACAAAAAAACATTGTTATAATGAAAAAGTGATGTCTTGATTTTAAAGAGAGTATTTGTTTAGCTTTTCACCATGACTTTTTTAACATATAAGCTCGGGTCCACACTACTGCTTGAGCCGATTGATTTGAGTTGATGTACGTGTGTTTTTCAGTAGTTAATGGAATGAAGTAATTGCAGTTGTTTCTACTCTTTTTCTCCACAGTCATGGCAGGCTGCTCCTCCAGCGTGAAACTTCTCTGTGACAGCGGGGCTTCTGTGAATGCCAGTGATTTTGTGAGAATTGATATTTCACTTAATCTCACACAGTTTGTTGTCATGATCTCTTCTACCACTGAAGAAAGGCATATTGATCTGCTTATTCCTTAAAGGCTGTTATTTGTCAGTTGTCAACTTGTCATTTACTGCATGCATGGTCAGTTAGAACAGCACAAAAAGGTATTCACGAAATGTTAGTCCCTCGACTGAGCGCCCTCTTTATTCTCGATTTCTCTTTTTTGCTTTGAGGTGAGAGAGAAAATTGATTCATTCGGTTGGACTGTATTGTGTTGTAACTGTGATTCTGTGGATGGATGTATTTGTGTGTAATTATGTGTCTGGTTTTTCTCCAGGATGGCAGGACACCTCTGGTGCTGGCAACCCAGATGTGTCATCCACGCATCTGTCAGCTGCTGCTGGAGCGAGGTGCTGATATCACCATCCGAGACAAACAAAACAAGTAAGAAACATCACCCCTCATGGTGGTTTGTCTTTGGTAGCGTTGGCAAATATCCATTTAAATAATTGGATATTTGTGTTGCTTACAAAACAGATGCCGTAGGTTGATAACTTATGCATTTCTGTTGATTTCCTTGTAGAGATAGTCTTTCTGAATTTAATGTCAAGTCACAGAAAACACTATAAATTCTGTACTAGCTTTGAACATTTATCATGTATTTATCATATGTTTACCATTTCCTATCAGTTGCAAAGGGGACTATACAAATATTTCAACAAACCCTGGGTTAGGCAGGTGATAGTAAGTACTAAAAGTAGAAATTTAAATAAAACATCATTTTGGAAAAAGGAGACATTAAAAATTACAACAGTAATAAGATGCCATTTTGTGCAGTGCATTTGTGTATTTTCTTTCAAATTAAAATATTGACTCTGCATGCGAGGCATATTGAAGTCCTGGTTTGTTAAGAGTTTAACAATTCACAAAATTCATGGCTTAATTCTGTACTTTGTCATGTCGTAAATTTTAAACGCATCACATCATAACAGTACAATACTTATTTTTAAATTGTAATGGAAAAACAACTAGATGTGGTGACAAAAACAGGATCAACTCAGATACCACAGTGACGGCACTGAATTATTCAGCAGTAGTTGAACATAATGCATGGTGAATTGTTGTTTGTGCCTCATTCAATGTCACAACTGTTTCATAGCTAATTTGTGCATGGTCTTACTCATAAGCTGTCTTTGTGGACCCCCTCAGGACAGCGCTGATTCTGGGCTGTGAGTATGGCTGTAAAGATGCAGTGGAGGTGTTGCTGAAGAGTGGCGTTGACGTGAAGGCTGTTGACGGCTTGGGTCACGATGCATTTCACTATGCTCGCCTCAGCAAGAACCCGGAACTTGTTGCGATGGTGAAAAGTTATCTCGACAAAGCCACCAGAGGTCAGATGGCAAAACACCACCAATAAACATTAAAAGAAAAGCACAATTAGCAAGATTATTGATAGCAACCATGACTAATCAGACCAATAAAGAAGGAAAGATGGCTTCTGAAATGTAAACTTCGGTCTGACTCATGTGACGTAGTAGGTAGTGCTGTTGTTAACCAAGTACTTGGAAAAAACATCTCTCTTACAGAATATCACCTCACCATTTGTTTCAGAAAATATATGGTACATACAGATTTTCAAGGTGGAAGGTGATTTAGATGAAGAGCAACAAGTGTGTAGACTTCAGGTAGATTATAGGTATATAGGTAGGTATTATAGGTAGATAGACCAAATTAGTATTTTAAGTATTCATTCAGTGAGTAACTGACTTTCCTAGGCAACACAAAGTGTAGCACATTTTGACTACACTTTGGAAAATGCCAAACCATAATTAATGCAGGCTAATACCCGGATGCAGTTTTGCTTTGAATTTTTATTGGTTAACTATTTTACACTCTTACATTTGCTCAAAAACCTACAATAACTATCATTGCAGATAATAAATATTGTGGCTCCATTCTGTCTGGATTTATGTTTTCTTATCTTTGTCAGTTTTCAAAACTTCTCAGTTTCAATATTTTTAGCCCTAGTCTTGATTTGCTTTTGGCTTTCTTTTGTGCATTCCTTTCCTTGAACATGTTTTTAAGCAACACTGTTCTGTAAAGGTACCTGTTTTTGTCAAGTCTTGGTAACGTATGGAAAAATGAAATCTCAACTTACTGTTTTCTCACATTGTTACAGATAAAGAGGCTGCAAAGATAGAACAGTGGAAGCGACAGGTAATCCTGCAGCATTCAGTTTATTGGCTCAGATCATCCATTATACGCCACCTGTAGTGAGGGGCAAATGTTTTTCTCCCCACGTCTGTCATATTTTAGAGGATCTTCATGTGTTCATGTAGCATGATGGGATTAGCAATGAACAGACATTTGTGTAGCCATTTTGTTTCCACATTCCCTTTGTTAAAATTTGTCAAAGGCCAAGGTTCCTTGCAGCCCAAAGCTGCTGTTGTCAGAATCCTTTCTGTCCAGTATTCATATGCTAAGACACTTTGAGGCTTGTGTGGGAAAAACACACTCAAGATTCTGCATTTTCTGCCCATTGTTCTACATTTCAAGTAATTTCCTTTTTAGCTTGGTGTTGTTTAGTACAGCCTTTCTTTTTTCATTTTCATTTCTGAACCTGTAAGGTACTCACTGCTGCTCAGATATACATGACTGCCATCTAGTGATTATTAGTGAGAGTTGTTCCACACGCTTATATCCTCAAAACATGGTTGTAAAAAGGATCCTGTCTTATCTGCAGCATTCAGTGGAGAGATCAGAGGCAGCTGAGGTTAACAGAAGGGATCAGATCATACATGTAAGTGCTGTATAAGTTCAGCCTCCCTATTCCACACAAACACACATTCACTTTGCTTCATAAACTATCGTTAGCAACTTTCACGGCATTCGAATTCGAGTATTTGCTTGAATTAATTCAAAATCAATCATCAAGACATCCATAAAGTACTGCTGGATTATTTGTTTTTTAAACATGCAATAATAGATTTTGCTTTGTTTATTTTTGTAAGCTTCATGGTTTTATGTGTGGATGTGTGTTAGGAATTGGAGAGGCAGAATGAGACCCTGCAGGAAAGTCTCAGAAAGTATCACCAGGAGCAGAAAGCCATGTTCGATAAGGTAGCCATGCTACAGCAACAGCTCACACAGGTAAACAATACTGCTGAGCTAGACCACTAGACAGTGCAGTATTCCATCCAACATGCTTGTTTTGTTCAGTGATTTGAGGGTGCTACTAGAGATTTGGCCGATGAATAGAAGCAAAAATAATAATACAAGCTGAGCTGAGTAAAGCAGTCTGGCCTGATATCATAGTCCCATGTTCTGCCAAGATATTAAAGGTAATACATGAAAAGGAAATGTGTAATAATTTAATTTCTGACCACTGGTTTCTTTCAAAGGAGGAAAAACAGACTTTTAATGCTGATTGCTTATGTAGAAGAATGTAGTGAGCATATATAATTCCCCAGTATAAGCCGGCAATATCCATTCACAGGAAAACGAGGACCTTTTTAATGAATGTTTTGTGGCATTTTGTCAATTATTAATCCCTCAATTGATTCAATGATCTTATTTTCATCTGCAGGAAAAGATAACTGTGGAAGACACTCAGAAAGAGGTATGAAAGAAAAATGATTGCCTGGACATTGTGGGCCTCATTCACAATTTTTTTTTGTTTGCAAGAACTTTACACTGAATGCACATTATAATCAACTAGTAACAACTAGTAACTCTCATGAGTGCAGTCAGTAAGAGCAAATGGGAAAGGAGGATGTTGCTGGTGCTGTATCAACACACAGCTGTACATGTGGAAGTGAAGGGAAGGGAAAAGGAAGGTAGCACAGTCTGAAATGCCACATGATTGTGACTTTATAGCACTGGATAACATCCTTCCAGGTCCACACATTTAGAATTCAAGATGGAGAGCTGTATTTTGTTTCCAGAAACAAATCTTTAAAAAGAAAAATGTCTGTCTTTGTCTTGTTGTGAAAGTAGATAAAGAAAGACAAACAAAAATGAAAAATGAATCCCACATTTCATGTACATAAGACGTGTGCTCTTGTATGTTTCACAAATGAGGCCCATTCTTCTCGAAGTTGCTGCTTGATAAGTGATAATGTGTTAGATTTTGGTACTAAGAACTCTTCTCTTCATAGTTTAAAACCAATAATTTAAGGTAAGATAATTTAAGGGTATGGTCTTTGTCGTGGTGTTGGATTTCTCCAGAATCGCTTACTCCACTTTTAACCGTTACTAGCAGCACTAAATAGAATGAAGCCGTGGATCAATAGTTGTCCATATTATTTAGTATCTTGGACACAGAGGCTCTTATATCTCATAAAGATATACTGTCCTACAGACCAGATGTGTTCTCATGCGTTTGGATGTAAACATTTCCCCGCATCCTCTATTCTGCTGCCTTAAAAGGTTTGACATTAGCTACAGTTTGCTGCCAGGTATATTAAGTATCTTTTGTTAGTTTATAAACATTTTAAACAGTTAACACATAGTCCTTAACAAATGGTGTGGGCAGGCATTTTTGAGCATTTCTAGAAGATTGAAACATTTTTTAAATCTGTATAAGATCTACATGCCTTTTGTAGAATAGCAAGTATCAGTTCAGTTAAAGTGTTTGTATTCCTTTTGATATGAATAAAATGTTCTTGAAAAAGAACTATTGTATTTGCCATCATTCAATCAGTGATTTATTCATCTGAAACCGTATGGTTACTCTCACTTGACTCACATATGCCTTTGCTTTTCTCGTGGTTGAATCAGAAAGAGCAGTTGAAGGTGCTACTTAGTGCCAAAGAAAGAGAGGAAGGGGCTCGAGGCCTGGAGACTGTCAAGGTCCAGCTCCGGAGTACTTTGGTCAGTGACTTTATACGTATCTGATTTCTAATTTGAGGCTTTAATTCTCAGGGAAATCAATGCATTCAAGAATATTATTAGATTCATACTTAATACAGTGCATTCAGTTCATTTGGTATTACTGTAAGTGTGCAAGTTGTGCAAGCAAGTTGTGATTTATATTTTTTTGTCCTGAGAATTCAGGATTCATATCTGAAGTCTAAAAGTGAAGTCTAAATGTTCTGTTTTTGTTGAAACTGATTCGTCTTTAGAATTATTTTGGAGGATTTAGTTTGTGGTGCTGTTGAACTGTATAGCATCATGGCAGGTGTTTCTATTATTTTGTCCACCACATTTATATCAGTTAGGCTAGGCTAAAGAAGAGAAGCACCTCACTGTATAATGCAATAAAGCACCACAAATTACATCTTCCAAAACGACCAGAGGGCTGAATCAACACTTCTGTAAAACAGTTTCAACAAAAACTGAACATTAATAACCCTAATGAAGATTTATTGGAGGACTGTTATTGTATTAGACTTCATTAGTTTTCAGTTCTCATTGTACCTAATAAACTGGCAACTGTGTATCTGCTTTGAGAAAATACTTAATAAATGTAGTGAACATTAGTGTTAAAAATACAATTTATTTGAAGTCTAAAAAGTCTCTCAGTTCTACCATTTGTAATGAGTATGCGTATATTTATGTATTCACAGGGGGACTACTCCGGGCAATCTGTTATCAAAGGTGAGCTTCCTTCCATTTCTTGAATCGTTAAAAAAAAAAAAAAATTATTGCATTTTTTTCATACTTCAACAGTAGAGTATGAGAAGAGTTGAATGTTTTATTTGTCTTGCAGGCAAAGAAAACACTTTGGTCAAACAAGCTCACAGCCTGGATTCTGAACAGGTACGTTTCTTGCAAATGTCGAAATATACAGGGTTGGTAGTGTACATGTAAGCAGTCTGTGTCAACAATGGTACAGTGGTTACAGTAGCCATAAAAATGACTAATGGTAATTATTTAATCACATTTAGTGTGTATTTGTATCAATGTGCTTTTTCTCTTTCTCTGCAGATGCTCCAGAATCCTGTCATGTTGCGTTCACTGTCCAGACCTCCAGAGAAGAGTCAGCCTTCTGTAGGCTGGGAGCTCTCCAGTGAACTGGATGCACTCCGACATGAACTTGAGGTGGTCAAGACAAGACAGCAGGCAGCAGAGGAAGAGACGGCGAGACTTCAGGCTGCCCTGAACCGTAAAAATCGAGAGTGCCAAGAGCTTGTTCAGAGCCGAGACACCATCCAGAAACAGGCTGACCAGCAGGTTCAAGAACTCGAGGACGCTTTGGGGGACGTCCAGAAGAGGATGCTAGATTCTGAGTGTAAGGTCAAACAGCTGCAAGCCCATGTAGTCGCTGTTAAGGAACATTTAGGAGGCCAGTCAACAGAAGAACTGCGTGCCCAGCTCCAGGATATCAAGGTCAAGTATGAAGGGGCTTCAGCCGAAGTGGGTCGCGTTCGTAATCGCCTCAAACAGAGCGAGAAGGCCCTGGAGGAGTACAAGAGCAGCGAGAGCCAGCTAGCAGCTGAGGCAGAAAGGCTGAACCGAGACCTGGGAGCTCTCTATGCAGAAAAAGATGGACTGACAGAAGCCCTTTTAGAAATGGAAACCAAATTGAAGGAGGCCCAGTCTAAACATGGCAACACAGTACCAGCTGAGAAGTTTGACAACATGAAAAATCTGCTGACCAATGCGGTTGACGAGAAGGAACGGCAGCTCGCTGAGCTGAGGGAAGACTATGATCGTGTGCTGGAGGAGGTGGCAGAGCTCCATCGAAAGATGGACAGTCCGTCAGCCCAGGGAAGCTCAGGGGCGATGTCTGCTGAGGAGCAACAGAGGATACAGGCAGCCCTCGAAGAGCAGAATGCTTCGTTGAAAAGGAAACTGGTCGACGTGACTGCCAAAAGCCAGGCTCTAATTCATGAAGTCGAGGAGAGTGAAGAGGAAAGAGACATGCTACGAGAACAACTGGATGCGCTCAACAGCAGGATTGAGATTGACTTTATACCCATGAAGAACCATGAGGAAGCTCGGAGGGACATGGTAACAGCTTTGGAGGAGCTGGAGGACAAACTGGTGGAAGCCAGTGAACGTTATTGTAAAGCAGAGGCACAAGTCCAGCAGCTTCAAACTGAGGGGGCCACGCTGCAGGAGAATATCAGCCGTCTCCAAAGTGCCAATGAGAGACACCAGAGTGAAATGGACGCTCTAAGATCTCAGAATGCCGACCTGATGAAGAAACTTGAACTTTTGCAGAGGAGATGTGAAGACAGGGAGAGAGAGTATGCGCAGCTGAGCACACAGAGCCAGACTCTGAAACAGAGCTTGGATGGAGAGTATGTTCCTAGACAGCAGCACGAGCAAGTGAAGATGGAGTTAAGTTCCGCCTTAGAGAGTGTTAAAGCAGAGATGTTAAAGTTGGAGGACAAGGAAAAAGAAAGTGGGGTAAAACTGAAGAATGTGAAAGAAGGAAATGATAAGTTGAAAGAAGAGCTGGAAAAAGTCCTGTTGGAGATGAAAAATAACTATATATGTATAAAAGACCATAAATCTACCACAGATAAGTTGAATGCTGCTGTGGTTGAGGCAGAGAATAGAGCAAACGAAGTGTCAGCGATGTATGTGTTGGCTCAGGAGGAAGCGGTAAAACTTACCCAAGAACTGGAGGCCCAGAAGAAAGAACTTGATACCATACAGGAGGCTATTAAGTCTAAGTTTATCCCACTGACAGCGGCCGAGGAAAAAGAACACTCTTACAGTGCCCAGGTGAAGGAGTTGACAGATAAACTGCTGGAAATGGAAGATAAGTATAACAAAGAAAGGTCTGCCAGAGAGAGCAACAAACAGGAGAAAGACAAACTTAAAGATGAGATTGAATCTGTTCAGCAGAGACTAGTCACTACTCTAGTTACCAGTGAAAAGCACAAGGATGTAGAGGCAGAGTTTAAGAGTAAATTAGAGGCACTGACTCAGAAGTTAGTCAACTTAGAGCAGCAGCACAAGGAGGTAACATTACAGAAAGCTGATCTTGAAGACCAGAATGTCTTCTGCAACACTCAGATCCAGAATCTCCAGGATCGTCTGAAATCAGAGTTGACTCGGATAGCAACATATGACACTGAGCTTAAAGCCCTCCATGATGCCATGCAGCAAGCCCAGGCCGACTGCAAAAAAGCAAGAGAGGCACAGCAGGAAGAAGCCCAGAGGGTTTGTGCCTTACAGAAAGAACTGCAGGAACACCACGGGGATCAGGCGTCTCTGCTGCAACAACAGACCATGACAGGGAAGCCCTGGAGGCTGAAGTCGCTAAGCTTCAAATGGCTCTCCGTGAAGAGGAGGAGAACAATGCCCAGAGAGCTGAAGACGTATCTGCCCTGCAATCTGAGCTCCTTCAGGCCACACAGGCTCTCGACGAAATTCGTTACAAGGAAGACCAAATGAACCAGCTGAAAAAGGAGAAGCAGCAGCTGGAGGAAGAGGCTGCCAACCTGAGCAACAAGCTACTGAGCTTGGCAGAAGAGTGTGAAGAGGCCCATCAGGAGTCAAAGCAAGCGAGGGAGGGTGAGAGCAGGGCTAGGACAGAAATGGAGGCTGTCCAGGAGAAGGGACGCGCCATTGAAAGAGAAGTAAGGGAGCTGAAAGAGAGATATGATGAGTCGCTCAGCACCATTTGTGATCTTCAGAGGAGGATTCAGACATCATCTCAGCAGACTGAAGCCAAAGACAAGAAGGTAGTAAGAATTTGACATTTGAGTTGAATAATTTATGGATTTTGCTCTTCTCAGCCATAGTTTTATTATTGAAACTACTGTGTTTGACTGTAACTAAATGTGACTACTATAGATTAAAATGTATTGTGTGTCTTCTACTGATTTAAATATTCTTTCACTTTTGTTATGTGGTTGATAAAAGTAATGAAAAATGTCACGTGTGTGTGTGTGTGTGTGTGTGTGTCAGATCGCAGAGTTGCTGACAGACGTTGAGCGATTGAAGCAGGCACTTAACGGTCTTTCCCAGCTGGCATACACAAGCAATGCGCCCAATAAGAGACAGACGATGCACATTGACACACTCCAAGCCCAGATCAAGAGCCTACAGCAACAGCTGGCTGTGAGTTGACGATTATGTAAACATATGCATGTTCTGCTTTATATTTAATTTGATTCAGTGACTGACTGAAAAACAGCTGTAGGAGACATTAAGTTCCTAATTTCTTTTACATTTGATTGAGTTACATTTTTATAAATTCTTTTTTTAAGTTTTCTTGACATTAATGCAGCAACAGTTTGCCCTCATAATCCTGAATCTCCTCACATTGGTCATTTTGGTTTGTTGGCAAATCGCTAGAATAAAAGAAGAATTCAACAATTCACTCTCCATTGCCGTAGTTGAATGTTGCCAGCAAAAATGATTATTCAAAGCTACACCTACTACTTTCATATACCATGTAACCAACTTATAATGTAGAACTAGAATTAAAGCGACTGTACCACATCAGTATTTACAATACTGGCCAGCTGTTGAAGACATCGAAGCATTAACCATCGTGTCGTCTTAATGTCTTTCTCTGTTCTGCTCAATTAGGATGCTGAGAGGCAACACAGGGAGGTGGTTTCAATTTATCGAACTCATCTTCTCAGCGCAGCACAGGTACGTTCTTCTCATTAATCTCTATTGAAGAAGAGAGTTGTCTGGTTTTCTTCCTCTGCAGATTGTATTCCAAGAATGTTTGTCTCATTCCTATGAATGGTCTTAGTTGAAATAATTTAGGTTCTGTTGTTCAGACAGCTTTTTGATTATGTTAAGAATGAAAATAATAAGGAGGTTGAACTCGGAGTCAGTTATTAGATTTGAGAGCAGAGTTCAAGAAATAATAATTAAACAGATAAAAGTGAAACTGTAAATTGCTTTGGAGAAGACATTAATGATTTCATTAAAACACATTTGGTTGCATAAAAGGCAAACCCCATTATCTGATAAAACTAACAGGAGTCAAAAAATACATTTTGGTTACTACAGTTGTTTGGTCTTCATCATTCAGCATTCACTTTGAGCATTTAGCATTTCAGGTTCACTGTGTCAATCATTGGCTGTTCCCAGCAACACCTCTCTGATTTTGATAACTGAACTTATCCTAAAAACCCATTTCACAAATGTTATCCAACAGAAAGTTGTGAGAAATACCATCCAACTAGGTGTAGAGGCTGAAACAGGAGATCAAAACTGCTCCAATGCACAGTGGGTCTGTCACAGCAGCAGCAGCATGGCTCAAATTTGCGTGCAGTAAACAAACTACTACTAAAGGGTTGTATTACACACTGGCAGTGCATATTAAAACAATGAATAATTACATCATTGCAAACATGCAAAGGGAAATGACGTTTATGAAATCACTCCTGTTTTCTCGAATCATTGTGCTGCATTTGTCAAATAAGGATCGGATAATAATAATAATATATAATAATAATAATAATAATAATAATAATAATAATAATAATAATAATAAGGATTCGTTAATCAAAACAGGACACCTTAGAAAGGCAAAAATGGTGCAACAAAATATTCACTCAGCCCACATGATTTAAACATATGTAAGTGCACAGTGGACAGGAGTTGAAGTGCTGAATGATCTGTTGTGTGAGTTACTGAAAACAGAACCTCCAGTGAGAATTATATGGTGAGATTAACTAAAGCCCATTCTTGACTGTGTTTCCCTCACAGGGCCACATGGATGAGGACGTCCAGGCCGCCTTACTACAGATCATCCGCATGAGACAGGAGTTTGTGTGTTAAAGCTTCCTCCGATAAAACAAAATGCTACCTGCTGACTCAAATTCACCAGTTTCACTTCTCCCACTGCAGAGTTCCCCTGCTGTGGCCCCTGTGGGTGCCCAATGTGTGTGTCTGAAATTAATTTTTTGTAGCGTGGCTGCACTTTGGTTCCCCAAATCTCTGTGTTGTGTAAAAAGTGAATAACTACATTTTAGATACAGATGTGTTATTTCAGCTGCAGTAGAAACGCGGCAAATCTTTATACAAAATGTGTTCTTATAGTACAGTATGTGACGAAGCAATTCCATACAGTTATAAATTCATTTTATATAGCTTTAACCCATTACAATATGGGAGTTATTTGAAATGTAGGTCCCTTTCGTAGATTACTCTTGAAATGCTCGGCTGAAATGTAACATGGACACGAACACAAAGACCACTTTTCACATTCCCACCTGACAGTCAGCTCTCATAAAGTATGTTTTTGTGTTAAACAGCAATGTTTGCTCGATTTTTAAGGATAGATTCACATTTTGTTAAGTCTGTTTTATGGTGCCCATATGAACACTGAAAAAGCTTTGCTTGTGTTAATTATTTGTCCTGTTCATACTGACCATTAAGAGATCCCTTCCTGAGGCTCTTCTAATATAAGTGAGGAGGGATAAAATCCAGTCTTCAGTTCCTGCAGCGGTGGATTCAGAAGGTTATCTGAAGTTAATGAGTTGGTAAAATCACATGGCTATCTTCCAAAGTTGGCAGTGCTTCCTTGTTGTGCTGCAGTGACAACACAAGGCGAGAATGTCGTGCTAAACACACGTTAACTTTGAAAGATAACCGCTTGATTTCCTTGATGCAGACTGCTTAAGCCTCATTATCTTCAGATAAATGTGTTTTGTCCCCCATCACTTACACTGATAACACATTAAGAAGGAATCTTTTAATGTCCAGCGTGAACAGGAGGAACATTAACAGCAAGCAAAACCTGTTTCACTGTAGAAATGGGCATGTAAGTATTGTTTTGAGTTGTGAACACATCCTTTAATACAATACTCAGATAGCCATCTTTACATTGAAGGAGTTCTTGGGCTCTGTAATCTTGACTGGCAGTAAAGAGATGCCCTTGTAACATGAGATGGGGATTATGTGCAAAAATAGATTTTAAGTTTAATCATAGCTAATGTGGGGCTTCAGAAGTATGAATTAACCATGTGAAATGGGTTTCTTTCAAGGTTACCTTTCATATTGGTATGAAATTCCCCAGACTGTGCTGATTTTTGAAATTCATATTTGCACAGCAAGAGGACAGAAGGAGGATTTTGTCCTCCATCTGTTACATTGGAAAAGCATTATTAGGGGATCCCTTCACATCCGGTGAGGACCGAAGGAATGATTACAGCATCCAGTAACTATCTATATGTACATATGGGAATCTGAGTATTGTTTTAGGGCAGACTTGAAAGAATGTCATCCTATCCTTTAACCTTGTTCATGTCAGTTGTTACACTTCGGCTGCTTTCTTGAGACTGTACTCATTTTGTGGCACAGTTATCGTCTTCAGAAGGTCCAAACTAGTATGTGTGTTTTCAGAATACATCCAAATGCCAAAGATCTAAAGAGGGTAATATCATCCAAATCTAAAACTACTCGCCATTTTAGTGGAAGATAGTATTGTGACAGATTTGGAAGAGCTATAAGTTATGTCACTCACACAGTCTGGACATGGTTTGTGCTGGATTTGAGTCATGGGGGGTGTGGAGTGGAGATCTCTTGCTGTGTCCTACAGTTTGCAGTGGCACGTCATCGTTTTTGTTGAAACCAGAGTGTCCTCTAGTGGTGAGACTTGGCAGGCCAAGTTGATAGAAATTGTAATCAGTGTGGCTCAGGGGTAGGCAGTAGTTGTTTTTGGGGAGCTGTGAAATCTGCATGTTTGTACTCAACACGGGAAATGTATAATAAATCTTACAGCTAGTTGAGACAACACAAAATGTGAATGTAAAACTACATTGACAGAGCTTTATCTACTCAAATCTGCTGCTTTGCATCACAACATTTTAACCTTTTAAAGACGGCTAATGACCCAGCTGAAGCTTGACATAATATAAAACCTCATTTATGCAGCAGTGAACTTTGCAGCTCTCTTAGAGCAAAGCTTGCGTGCCCCTGAGCCAGCTCTTTGTGACTCTTGATGGTGTAGTGTAGTGGTGTTGTGATTGTTGAGCGAGTCTCTTATGCCTTTACACTGATATATTTTTCATAGCTTTGTACTACTTTAATAACACTACTACAGTGTGACAATTCTGATATTCAGCAGGTCTGGAAGTAGAACGGCACAAAACACGTTCAGGGTAACATTTACCATAGGATGCCATTTGATAACCTTAGAACAGATTCCTTTATTTATGTGGACAGACAACATAGGAACGTTAGTTATTTGAAACACTCCTGTCTTTACCTTTCAGCTAACACACCTTATCAAGTAAACAGTCTCTTTTTATATGTTGGCCGAAAAAAACTCTGTTAACACCAACAGATATTTTAGAAAATTATACATCTTGCATTTTGTTATGCAGATGTTAGGGATTAACACTAATATTTTGGGATACTTCTTTCTGTCTTTCCCCTACTGTTAATATACACTACAAATTGAATCCAGTAAAATCTTTAAATAAATATACTGTATACCAGTCTGTTTTAATTGGTTGTTTTCTTTGGCAGTAATATTTGTGTTTGTGAATCAGTAAAACAACATTAATAAAAGTGCCTAACATAGAAAACTACATCTTTTGTATTGTATTTTGTCATTACTACACAGACTTCCCTTATTCTGTGAAATATGTTAATATCTACACATATTTGGTACAAAGGTTTGTACTGACATTCAATGTCCCCAGATACTGTATTTTAATGACTTTGGTCAGACACTTTTGATGTGCTTTCACCATCTAGTCAAACAATACCTATATTGGTTTATGACCAAATACCCACAAAACTAACGATATTCCCATCAGCTCCAGCTGCATTTGATGTCTTGTGCTAATTAGCAAATTTTAGCATATGCTAACACACTAAGATGGTAAACAGTTTAGCATTTAGGTGAAAGTACAGCCTCACAGATCTGCTAGCATGGTTGTAGACTCTTAGACTTGGTATATTAAAGGCCCTTGAAATCTTTCTATGTGCAATGGGGTTTCACAACAGTTATTTCACTTGAGAGATTTTCAGTATTTTGATTTTTGTCCCTTTTTTATTTTTTATTTTTTAATGGTTTGAAGTGGGCGGTTCTCCATTATCAAATGTGATAACACAAACTTATGTTCACAAATAAGGATTTAACAACATTTTAATCAATTTTGGATGACACTTGGGGTTGCCTCTCCACCTGTCAATCAAATCTGGTCAAACCTAAACAATCTAATTAATCAGAGAGTTTTCCTGAGCTTTAATGTTGATTGTTGCTCATTTAATCAAAATTACCAAGAAATACCAAGTTTTCTGTGCCGCACGTTGTGTAACTATACAGTATATGCTCCACACTGCTGACTTCTTTTAGCTCCACACATTTTTACTTCCCTTGTGGGAACAGCTCGGTTCATGTGGTTTCACTTTAAGTACAATCAACCCAGGAATGAGAGCGAGTAGCTCTTTGGCGCACATTGCTCACTTTTATCTTTGAGCCCGTACCTCTATTGATTTGTCTGTTGGGTCTTTTTTCTCTTCGCAAGATTTATTTTTCATTAAAGCTCTCTTTGCCGGGATGCTGAGAACAGAGGTCATGGTATTTCAGTTATCTCATTTCAGATAAATTCATGGCATGCACAGTTACTGAGCACAGGGGAATTTCCATTTAAAAAGTACAATGTGGTTAAATTGGTCTTCGCTTTTGAAAATAATCAAGATTACTAATATGCAAAAAATTATTAATACCATCTTAAAGCAGAACTCCAAGTTTATGAGCAAGAGCTAATCCATCCCTTATCCCATCCTCTGTTCACACACACAAACGCACAACATGCACACATCCTCTAATTGATACAAGACTTGTCCTGGGTTGGATTTCTTTGAGAAAAGCTTGCTGGTTTCAAGTGGCAGCCATCCCTCCTTTCTACTCCTCCTCCTTCCTTGGTTTTATGATTCTCTTTCTTGCGGTCTGCACTGAATAAGCTGTTCTCAGCAATTATGGCAAATACAATTCAATCTGTTGGTAGATCTCTCTTTAATCTCATTTCCAGGGTCCTAATCAGTCCCATACATCCACTTGCGGCCATTTGGTTTACCACTGTAACCCCTTCCCCGGCCGCAAAGAATCCCATCTTTATAAAATTCGTCATCCCAAAAAGGATCAGAGACTTTATTTATGTTGGAATAAGCCCCGGCCGTCCACCGCATACATCATGAGTGGTAAACTGGCTGAGGAAGCAGGCGGGTGGTTAAATACACATCAGATACACGCCCACATCTTTGCTTCCAGTCCTCTGAGCTGTCACGAACGTTTGTTATCTCACACAGCAGTGTGCCACCTCTGCGGCACGTATTCCCCGGAGGAGTTTCTTTGCATTGTTAGCCGTACAAAAACTCAGAGGCCTCTTCTTGTTTTTTAAAGGAATTTTTGTTACGACTCCCAGACAGTGAAGTGAAATTGCTTTATCAACCTCTTCTCCTTTTCTCCTCATTTTTGTCACCTGTGTGGTTATTTTCATTCTCTCCTATGGCCAGATTAACCTGTTTGGGGGCTCCAGGGCCAAAAGTTCACTGTTATGCCCCCTGATGCCACTGAGTACTCCGGTACTCCACTGATTTAACATTGCACGGCCTGTAACATTGGACTCATGGTGGATAGTTTAAAAAAATTTTAAAAATCAATGCAGCAGAACCACCAATATTGTCCCACACATTCTCCTTCCATATATAAAATCTGGTGCCTACATTACCCACAATGCAAATTTACCACCGACAGTTCTGTCAGAGATACGGGTGTGTTATGCTAGTTGTGGCTAATGTAGCCTAAAGCCACAAGCCTCAAGCAGAAATGAGGAGCGGGCTACGGAGGTCCAGTAAGCTCACTTCTCTTTAGCTCCACACCTCCAGATTTTTAAAATTTTCAGACTTGTAGTCTTCAGACTCAACCAATGCTGCCACAAGTGACATCACTTTAAATAATTTATCAGACTTCACACAGCTCCATCTGCTGCTTTGTGCAACTTTTTTCACATATGCAGTAGTACTCCCCAAGACACTGACGTGTAAAATCGGTGAGGTTCCCCTTTAAGTACAACACACACAGCACATTATAGATGTCAGTTTCATTATATTTTGAACCCAGAAACAAACCAGTGCTCTGACATACTGGAATACGACCTGCCACGGAGATTCTGTATGTCAGTTAGTTTGTGGTAATTTACAAAAATTTTATTGTACTTCATCCGGCCTTGCAGTCTTGTCATCTATTTTCTTTTCCTCCTTCTCCCCACCGCTTCCTTCCTTCCTGCTGTTTTACCTTTTGTCTGTCATCCTTCCTTCCTGGTTAATTTCACAGGTCAGGTCAGTCAAGAGGTCTGTGCCATATTTGTCTCTCTGGTGTAATTGCTCAGTATTTCTCTGTCTGTAATAGGCCATTACTCAAGCAGTGCCGGCCAGCCAGCTTGTGAGGCTACACTAGGGGCAGTGAACACGAGGCCAGGGGCCCCTCTTTTTTCATTAGTCCCCTGAGGAATCGGACTGCTCTTGGCTCCAGGCCGAGACAGGCGGGGCCCCTTTAATGTTTTTGCAGCGCTCCAAAGCACTTTGTTGCCTCAATAAAGTTCATTTATGGGATAATAAGGCTCTGGAGGACACATGGTGCTGATTTGAGTTGAATGGTTTCAGCATGGCTCACATTCCCAAAACCAAGCCCTGTCTCTTCCATCTCTTTCTTTTATTTCATCTTGTTTCTTTTTCTTTCCCCACTTCTCACCTTTCTCTTGCTCCTCACCTCACATCTCCCTGTGCTCTTTATCTGCCGTCATTTATTATTCTTTCTAACACTTTGGCAGTGTAAATGTCTGATCCTGGGTTGACCTGGGATTTGCACACCTGGGAATGAGTAGCAGCGAGGGGGCAGAAGGCCCTCTCATTTCCTAGGATTTATTCCAGAGCTTTGAGGGGGGAAGGTAGTATGGGTATATGAGGGAAGAGAAGCGATCAGAGGAATGAAAACCCTCAAGCCCCAAACATTGGCAGGAGGATCAAGCTTTACATGCCAAGGCTACACCAGAGCCGAGTGCCCCGGACATTTGCTGTATCAAAGGTGTGGTATATGTTTTGGATACATGCGTTAAAACAGATTCCTGTTCTCTGAGGATGAGTTAAAACACACGCACAGATAGATTAGAAACAGGCCCTACCAACCTCCACTTCTTTTTTTATCCCTTTGGTTATTACACATGAGGCTTACGTGAGTGTTGGCCATCTTTCCCTGAAACCCAGTAAGGACATTGTACACCACTGTATGCTAAACGGTTTCATCTGAGTTCAGTGTTTTTCTTTTTCCCTCATTAGTAATTGGTTAACCTCTAATGCTTAGTGTATCTGTTCAGCTTTTCTTCCTCCCTTCATTGACTTAGCAAGAAACAGATGGCCCCAAACCGCCACATCTCCCTCTCCCTTCTGACTGTCATCCTTCCCACCACTTCTTTTACAATAATCTCTCGCTCTCAAACGGAAAATCGCCCCAGTTTTGCATGTCTGCTCGTGGCGCAACACATGAGACTGTGTATGTGGTTTAATTGGATAAGGCTTTTGGGGTTGCTTGGTGCTTGGAAACATGGCTGAGGCCACTTCTGGCTGTTTCAATCATCTTAAAGACATTGGGTTAGGCCGGAGGGTGTTAGCTTGAGCTTGTTAGTGCGGTTGGAAAAGGCTGTGTTTGATTCCGTGATGAGGACTGAATGAAAAGCTGTGAGTCTGGAGGACTGACTTTGATTTGATGTTGGCGTTTGGGAGCTGCTCCATTTTCAATTGTGGTATCTTGGGATGGCATGCTGGTTGGGTAGCCAGTTCAGTCGAAAACAGACCACTGACACGAATGGTGCCTCAGTGCTGCAGTGAAGACTTATTACATGTAAATGGGATAACTGTTACATATTACTCAGGTTTAATTTACAGATAAAGAATTGAGTGGTGTGGATATTTAGGCTCTGACTTTTTGCAGCCGTACTCTATTTGGAAAATGTTCCAGCAGTATTTCAATATATCATTTCAACAGCCTTTTGGCACAGTAACCAGTAGGAAGATCAGGACCCACCATTTGTGGAATATTTGCAAATGAGGGGAAATGTAACTCACTGTAAAACCACATTTCTGTTTGTTCAATTCAATTAAACAAACAAGATATAACAGGTTTGGAAGTGCTAGTGAACTTGAACTTTGAAGTGAGCTAGGCTAGCTGTTTCCCCCTGCTTCCAGTTGCAAGTTAATCTCTTCCTTGCTCCAGCTTTCCACTTAACACACCAACATTAGAGTGGTTTCATTCTTTTCATATAATTCTTGTGTGACATTCTGAGTGACATGTCACATGTCACACAGAGCTGTGATTAAAGGACTACTTCAGCATTTTGGGAAATATGCTAATTTGTTTTTATGCAGACCGTTAGATGAGAAGATTGTTACCACTCTCATTTCTGTAGAATATATATGAAGCTATCGGCAGCAGCGAGTTGCCTTAGCTTAGCATAAAGACTCAAAACAGGGGGAAATAGCTAGCCTGGCTCTGTCCAAAATCCACTTACCAGCACCTCTAAAC